GATGAAGAAGAAGTATCATCTCGAGGAGAAGCGCGCGTATGTATAGGTATTATATATATAGGAGGGAAAACTGGTTTCGCGCTATCTCGTCCGAGTAAGGTGTCCGAGAGAGCAATTGGCGCGCGCGTGATAATATACATCTCGAGTCCTCGCTACCGACGCTCGACGCGAGCTGTACACCACTGTACTCCCTCGGCATGGATATATCCCCCATATGGGTGCTCATGGGACTACCGGTGATGTCGAAAGGGGCCGCGAGCATTTTTTTTCCCTCCTCCTTCCGCCGGTCCGGTGGTCAGGGGGACCCCTCGATCCACGTTCTTGAATTATGGCCCACGGGTCACTCGCAACACGCTTCGTCGTTTAACCCTCATACCGATCTCTCGGCGCGCATACTACGCGCGAGACAGGCAGAAACGAGAGAAGAAGCATTCCCGATGTGGCCGGCTTTTGTATTTCCGCGATGGGGGCGCGCTACCGCGAGAGAGAGAGAGGGGCCTTTTTCTCCCCGCCGGGGCCCTCTTTTTATCGGGCTCGCGCGATCGACGTGTACCTGCGCGTCGTACGCACACAAACGCGCGCCTCGTGTCGTCTCGCGCTCTTTCGGCCCCGCCGCTGGCACACAGGAAATAGTTATTCCGTCGATCCTCGCTTTCTGATTCCTCTCTCTCGCTGCTTCTGCTGCTGTCCCTTTTCTTCATCCTCGTTTTTTTTTTTTTTTTTTTTCCCTTCCCTTTCCTTCTTTGTTTTTGGACGCCTTTTTGATTCCTTGCTTCTGCTGCTTGTCGGTGTTCCTCTTTTCTCTCTTTTTTTTCTTTTTTCTTCGCTCCTCTGCCAAAGATGCACGATCCCCGAGAAGTTGTTCCTTTTCTTTTTTTTTTTTTTTTTTTTTTTTCTTTACGCCAGAGTGTGTTCTTTTCCACGGTGTTTTTTGCAAAGAGATCCCTCGGAGGTGTCGATTTTGCTGCGGCGGATGGTTAATTCAGAGCTGACGGACGTTTGATTAATTCCCCGCTCTTAAAAGCCTTCCTTCCCTCTTTTTTTTTTTTTTTTTTTTTTGCTCTCCCTTCTCTTTTGTTCGCGTAATTGACTCCGGTCGGCTGATTTACCGCGCGTGCGTTCAACGCGAGGAGCTTTGCGGCAGCCAAGTATTGCAATAAAAAAAAACGTGAAGCTGAAAAAAATCTTTGCAGGTTATCAACGTCTTTAGTCAATATAAATGTGACAAGATTTTGACTCGATTGCATTTGCTGTCGTATATAGACTGGAAGGTCGTCTGGTAACAAAAGTCAACGTAGCTCAAACTTGCGACGCCAGTGTACCCTTAAACATGAGCACGCGTTGAAAAGTATCGCGTACAAATAGCACCGAGCCAATGTATCAGCGGCGAGAGCCAAGCGGAAACGTTTATGCCTCGCATTTGTCTCGCGTGTAACCATTTGACTTGCTGATCGTGAGAAAAAAACGGCTTCGATGCGACAGCCGCGCGCTTTTATTAGTATATTTTTAAACTGCCGGTATTATCTTTCAACCCGAATAATTGACCTTTCGAACGAAGTGTACTGTGCAATTTCTACTTTTAATCGATAAAAAAAAAAAAAAGAACCATGTCGTAAAATCCATGATCACGGAACGTGGGAACAAAACAAGCACGAAAAAATATATATACACATCGAGAGACTCATAAATGAGTATACACGTAAGATTACAATTCCGGGAGCCGCAGAGAGTATGTATACGGACGCAGGGACAAAAGCCACCCGAGTCCATAAATTCGAGGATCAAACTGTCAAACAGCCCCGGCGATCTCGAAACCATCCCCCCCAAAAAGATACCCGGGGGGAGAGGGGTAAATGTTATAAATATTTGCCGTTGCAGTGGGGGGGGGGGCTGGATTTTTCGACTCGTGTCCGAGACCGTGTTTACAGGCTCGCGTATTGCGCGCGAGAATGTATAACGCGTTGTGTTGCGGGTCGACCGAAGCATATTGCAGTGCAAACATTTCTAGGAGGGATGGAAAAGCGCGCGTGTGTGCACACTCTAATCTATCTGGGCTGTCCCGTTTGATGCGGAATTAATGAGGGGGGGGGAGAGAAAGGGCGAGAGTATCGTCGAAAAAAGCGCGAGAACCTTTCAGTGCCACGCAGCTGCACCTATTTACTGAGTTGTGTGCAAGGGCTCGCCGTGCTTTTTGCGTTCGACGTTGACTCGTGCGTGCTTAAATTGCGCGTTGGGCTTATTTATGTTTCGAGTCATTTTTGTTACATTTCCAAAAAATATGGTAGTAGGAACCAGAACAGATATCAAACTTGTGTTGACTATATTTATTATTTAGGCTTACTTAGGTTCAAGTTTCCATCATAGTTCGCGTATTGATCTCTTGTTCATGCACTGAGCGACCCAATTCTTTGAATCAAAGAAAATTTCTTTACCCTCATTCCGTTAAATATTTTCTTATGAGTAAAAAAATATAAGTTAATTGAAAATAATATTTTATTAAATTAAAATTTTCTTTTTTTAATTACGAATTTCTCATTTAGTTGTACGAAATGTTTTTTTGGATCGACTAAATTTGTTTCAATTAAAAGAAAATATTTAACGGAATGAGGGTAACGAAATTTTCTTTGATTCAAAGAATTGGGTCGCTCAGTGTGAGAACACGAGACTAATCTTTAGCAACGGAACTGTACTCGGTGCTGTTACATCTAAGATTTTCTTGTGTATTAATTGGTTATAAAGTAAAAGTAATGCATATTACCATGTAGCTATAGCGTATCAGATATATCATTTTGTTTTGTTCGTAGGAAGCGTGTTGTCCTGATAATACGTTGATTATAAATGAATGGACTTTAAGAGGATTGTGTCGGAGTATTGAATTAACTTTAACGATTGCTTCATAAAAAAGCGTTGAATCTTTAAGGCCGATGAATAAGTGAGATTAATTTACAAATGTCAAGTTCGCTCAACTGCGTCAACGATACGGTCTCTGACGTTCATTAACATTTTAAGATTATTCGTACCATTTTCACTTTCGCCACCTTTTTTCTTTCTCCCGTTCACTTTTAATCAACAATGGCTTTGAATTTTCACTACCTCTATTGAAGTTGATCCAAGGTTTGATTGCACTAGCACTACTCCAACATTTGTGCAGTTAATTGATGGATATTCCTTTCGTGCGAAATGTCATATTTTTCAACGAAGCAAAAAATAAAACAATGAAAATAATTGAGGAAAAAAAAAGAAACGTTGATTAAAGACAATTTCATTAGCAACACTGTTTTGCTTTCAAACTGACGTTATTCGGATAAGATATGCCAGCCTCTCCTGACGTCTTGTTTCAATTCACTCTTTAATACGCTCTCTCGCTTATCGTGTATTTTTTATTTCGTTCTCAGTGATGCAGAGTCTACAATTCGCAAAATGGCATCACCACTGTATTGTTCGCGTGCTCTTGAATTTTTCTAGAATCATCTAGAATCATCTGTAACCCTGTTACTTTTTTTTTTCGAGGGAGCACAAGTCAAAAAGTGTGAAAACACCAATACATCTAATCAAGTGCGCCTCGCACGGACGGAAAATTTGTAAGCACTTGCGCAAGCCAAATAAAATAAGTACGGCCTCCCCAATATACACTCAGAGGAGACGATTCTCGCAACGAGCGGAGACAAAGTCGTTGTTGGCCCGTTATCTAAATGAGCACGATGTATAACAAAATATACGAACGATAGCGCGCAAAAGACGCAAGAAACATTCAATCGACTCGTGTTTCTCTAGAACACTATACTTAATCGCGGCGGGCAAAAAAAAAAAAAAACGAACAGAATTCACGTACGCGCTACGTCAATGTCTCTGTATGTACATACGCTCTCCTCTCGCCGCATCGGTCATCCAAGCGTGCAAAGGAACATATTAACAGATAAAGCGCCTCCGTGTATTAACATCCTTTCTTTGTCTCTTTCTTCGGTGCCTTATCATCGCGTGTGTTCTTGCGAATGCAATTGAATTAAAAAACCCCTCCCCCGCGACGCTCGAATCGTCGAAATTGTGACGTGACACATTTCCGAAACAGCGAGCGATCGCGACGGTGTTTGACATTGTTTTTTTTTTTTTTTTTTTTTACGATTAAACAACGAAAAGGTGACGCGTGCACGAGTACGTATACTTATAACATGTAACACAGAAGCATAATCCAAAGACACGTAACGCGGCCCCGAGAAACAAAAAGGAAACGTCCATCAACGAGACAATGCACCCGAGACAAAAAAGAGGGGCAAATAATTAATTGCTCCTCAATCGGAGGGATCACGTGTCTTTGAACACCGCGAAAATGAATTTAAAACACCAGTAGAGGGGAGGGTGCCTTATACAGCCGAACAATGCCAATACACACCTCGTTCCCATATTTGGTCACATTAGCTTACCTCCTTCGATTTACGCATACACATACATATACCAACCTGTAATCCAAAAACATCACGCAGCAGCGGATTACCTCGTCGCTCGTTCTCCTTACAACAATGTCACGTGTATATATATATATAATGTATGTATCGCATAGAGACACACAAACGAAGTAACGAACGACCGAATGAATATTCACTCGACGAAGACTCAAATAAGTATTATGTAGATGTAATCATGCGTATATGTATACATGTATAGGAGCCGCGCATCCGTCCTCGGGTTGAATTGCCGGATATGCGCGCCTGCCTATAATGCAAAACCGGCCGATTCGTCGACGACGGCTAAATCGTTCTCGGCCACCGTGATGTGTATATATTTATATGCTCGTACATCGTAGTATACAAACCGAGAGATACATTGACTCTCCGCGGAGGAGTAATAACCCCTGCTAACCCCTCTCGTCTTGTCCTTACCTCTATATATATATATATATATATATAAATGTACATATTTTATGGAAAATCCGATGCTTTTGTTCCTCGCTCGCAGTTTACAAGCAGATGATTAATCTTTTATCTTCGTTGTGTGTGTTTCAGTGCCCCGTGACAGTGAGCTCGTCGTCCGTAGCACCGTCGTCGTCGGCGTCGCCGGGTTCCGGCTTGCTGCTGAGCCCCTCGTCGTCCCTGCAGCTGAGTGCCGGCGGCGGTGGTGGGACCCCCTCGTCGAGCATCACGACGCTGCCAACCCCACCGTCCTCCTCGTCGTCGTCCTCGGTAGCGGCCCACCATCACCCGCTCGGGGTAAGAATGGCAGTGACGAGCGCGGTGGTAAGGCCGCCCGGTGGCAGCCCGTCGGCCGTCGCCTCGGTCAGTCCGGCGTCGCACCAGAGCGGCGGCAGCGGCCCGAACAACAACAACAACAACAACAACAGTGGCTCGGGGGGCGGGGCAGGGTCGCAGCAGCCGGGCAGGTGTTGCGACACGGGCAGGCCCATATTCACGGATCCGTTGACAGGGCAGACGGTGTGCTCGTGCCAGTACGAGCTCCTAGGGGGCTACCAGAGGCTCGGGGCCATACCCACGGCCGCGCTGTCAATGTACAGCGCGCCTTACGCAGCGGCTGCGGCTGCCGCTGCCAGCGAGGGCATGGCTGCGTACTTTCCCGGTCTCGGGGCCGAGCAGGCGCCCTTTTACACGTCCACGGTGAGTTTCATTTCTTCCTTTTTTTTTTTTTTTTTTTTTTTTTCAACGATTGATTGTTGCACCGAAACAGAGTCTCGTTGCAACAACTCGGTGAAGGGGGTGGTAAATCTGTCCGTCGCGCACGGGGTTTCCACTCATCGGGCTTCCGGATTCTTGTACAGGTGTGCGTGCACGTACAGCGAATCATGCAAAAGCTCTCCCATTTTTTTTCTCTCTCTCTCGTCACAATGAGCACACTCCAATGCCCTGTACTGTATACAACTATACATCGATACGCGCACGAGACGTGTAATTGGAAACGTGATTAAAACCTGGGAAGAACGTGTATTATATGTCTACTTACTTTTTTTTTTTTTTTTTTTTTTTTTTTTTTTTTTTTTTTTTTTTTTTTTTTTTTTT